TGATGCTTTTGTAGGCAGCAAAATGACTCCCAATCAGCTTGCGAGACCTGGAAATGCTGCAAGACTGCCTCCCTGCACATCGTGTCCCCCTATGTCCCTCTCAACCTCCCTTCCACCTCCAGCTGCCTCCTGCCCCACATCCTTTTCCATGCCATTCTGTTGAAACCCTAAATCTGCCCCCTGCTCCCCAGTGCCCTGCTCCCTGCACTCTCCCCACCCTCCTTTCACAGGGTCTCTACTGCCCCTCACAGTCACTGGGCCCTATCCATCACCCTCAGCCATAGAAGGGCAGTCATGTTCCCTATGGGCTTCAGTCTCACTGAAAACAGAGGGAGGTGGCAGCCAACTTTACTCAGGGCCTCCTCACTCCCACATGCTGACAGACTGTAGGGTGATGGCAGCATCTCGCTGGCTTAAGCCTCACTGTTAGCAACAGGAGTTGGTGCCATCAAGAATAAAGGAAACTCCAAGAGTTGGAAGTGGCTTATAACTAAAAAGTTGGATGGTACTTGACCACAAATCCCAGTGATGATTGAACCTGTTGATATTCTGAACCAGAGGAGCTCTCAGCCAGGCTTGTAGCTTGTTCCAGCATTTCATGCTGACTCAGCACAGAGCCTAGGCTTCAGAGTGACTCACAGAGTGACATTCCTGGGATCTTCTTATATGGGTAGCCAGGTCGCCTTCTTGTCAGGGCCAGGGTCTTGTCAGGACCCAAATCTAAATGGATGAGCTAAAAGAAGGGGGAGGCCACCTAGCAAGGTGCCTTTCCCAACATCACCACTAATGGCAGAGCCTGGAAAGGATCTGCATTGCCCACTAGCCTGCCTGTGGCACACACCACTGGTCGAAAGCCCAGTCCATGGCAGCCAGCCAGATAGCCTGTCACTGTGTTAATGAGGAGCCCTGGCTGGCTGACCATGATCATGCTGCCAGGTTGAGTATTCGGGTGGGCTGGGGGAAATGGAAAACAGAGAGGTCTTTTTCCTGAAAGGGGAAGTCCTGGAGAGAGGAAGCCAGGATTGGAGAGGGGCTTCCTTTCTGTATAGTGTGGGGTTGCTACCTCCAAGGCACAGAAAAACTGGCCCGTCTCTGGGCAGGCCCTGATCCTGGGGGAGGTGTGGCTGGTCTCTAGGCAGGGCCAAGTCCCAGGGCTGGGGGCAAATATGGGGCGGGGCTCAGTGCTCAGAAAGTTATGGGAGGTTTGGTGGGGTTTGGGGTTGGGAGTGCGGCACTGATCTTCCATTGACTGGTGTCTGCCTTGGCACACTGCACACATGCAGATCAGGATATGTGCCAGCCTGGAGGCCACTGTGTGTTTCCAGCTGTGACACGCATAGCTAGAGTTCTGAGATCACTTCATGCCCAGGTGCATTTGTGCACAGCTTAGAAATCTTGGCAACACCAATGCCTCCCCCACCCCCAGCCAAGAACACCTTTGGACCAGCAACTGGCAAGGCCATAGGAAAACTAGCCAGGCGACTCAAAAACCAGGCAGGTAGTATAAGGCTGGTGGTGGGAAGAGAGGGAGACCTGAGCCCTATGGTGCTCATTCCTACAAATTTCTTTATTATCACTAGAAGTTCACACAAATCATTCACCTCCCCATGCCCCTTCCCTCCTATATCCCTTCAGTGGTGTTTTTGACTCACTTTGGGCCTGATCCAGCAGTGGCAGTTGAGGGTGCTCAGCCTCTCACAGGATCCACTCAGCACCTTGTGGGATTGTGCCCTGTACTTGGAGGACCCTCCCTTGCTGAACTCAATATTCTGGAAGTGTCCAGGGTATCATTGGGCAACCTTAACTGTGCATTAATTATGTTCTATTCCATTTAGTTCTACTCAAAGTCTGCTCTGAATCCCCAATTTTACCCACAATCTTAGAACAGCGCTAAAACGTTGGGCAGGGAGATAGTCACCAGTGTTTGCTTTTTAACTGTCATCAGAAAGCCCCAGATTGAGCACTGTTGAGTTGACTGAGGCAGTTGACAACTCTTAGAGTTTGTTTCACTGCCTTCAATGGAAGCCCTAAGCAGCTGTGTTTGTCCTGGGGAGCTGCTGGAGCCTGGAGGAGGAGGAAGAGGACTAGCAGACCATCGGCTGTTGGGGGAGTGCACAGGACTCTGGAGACCATTGTGGAGGTGGCCATTAAGGACTGAGTGATTTTTGAACTGTGCTCTAGTGGTGAGGGTCTAGACTGTGTTTGTGGGGACACAGGGGTTACAGCGGGCACGCACCTTCCCCAGGTCCCACCACCACCGCGCCGAGGGAAAGGCATGCCGCTGCCCTCACCAGACCAGCCAGAATTGCCGGAAGGACGCCACGAAGCCCACATCCTCCAGCAAGCTGTTGTTAAAATGCCAATAGGCCGGCCCCGGCCTCTCCTCACAGAGAGAGGCCGTCACGGTGACTAGATGGTGATCTGAAAAAGGGGCTGGCCGGATGTTGGAGGAGTGGGCCCGTGAAAGGTGGAAGCATGACAAGTAGATGCGGTCCAACCGGGAGTGGCACGACCGATGGGCTTCCACCCGGACATAGGTAAACGTCGAGACATCGTCTGGGTGGTGGTCACGCCAGACGTCCACCAGAGAGTGATGTTCGACAATCTCCTGGAGGACTTCTGCGGTGGCCGAGCTCCGCTCGGTTCCCGAGCGGTCCCGCTCATCAAGGGTGGCATTGAAGTCCCCGCCCAGGACCAGGCACTCACGAGGATCCAAGGAGCCGAGGAAGGTGGATGCCTGCTGATAAAAATGCAGCCACTCCGGGCCCGCTGTCAGGGCATAGACGTTGACATGGTTGACCACAAGCCCCTCCATATGGCCCCGGAGGTGCAGCAGGCAGCCCGGCACAGCCTCGGCAACCCCCAGCACCTCGGGCCGTAGGTCGGGGGAGAACAGGGTAGCCGCTCCAGCCGTACGAACTGTGAGGTGGCTAAAGTAGACCCTGTCCCCCCACTCCAGCCGCCAGCTGTCTTCGGCGGCTGGATCCATATGGGTCTCCTGCAGGAAAACCACAGAGTACTCCCCCTCCCGAAGGAAGGAGAGCACCTGGCTCCTGCAGAGACCCACCCTACAGCCCCGGGTGTTCAATGTTGCAAAGGTGATAGGTACCATAAGGAGGGCTGGGGGGGGATCCTCACCAGCAGGGACGCTCACGGTCCCCATTGGGCCGTGCAGCAAACTGTGACCCACCCCAAAGGCGAGCAAAGCATCACGGAAGCTGCGGACCCGCTGGTAAGCCACGGTGCCCTGCTTCCCGGTTCTTTTACCCTCCCCTATGAGGGCCCTCGCGGCCCGGAGGATTTGATGAAAATCCTCCCCATCGTTGGAGAGCGAGCGAGCAGCATCTTATTGCGGGAGCCACGGACGTCTTCTAAAAACTCCCGCAGCTCTTCTAGCAGCCTATGGGGGTGGGGGGGTCACCGGCTTCCGGTCATTCTCCGGTGAGGCCCCTGGCACAGCCCCGTGGCCCACCGAGACGGACAGGCAAGGGATGGACCCTCGACGTGGCGCCCGATGGGCCGGCGCCACACGGCCCGCCTCAGACCCCGGCTCAATAGGGGGCGGCGGAGGGAAGATAGCAGCCCCTAGTGGGTCGGGACTGGGAAACACAAAGGCCGCTCCCTGGGGGTCATCCTCTGGGAAAGGGAAGGAGACGGCCCCAGGGGCGGCAATGGCATCAAGGAAGGTGGAGAGGATATGTACGGGGTCAGGAGTAGGGTTGGGGAGAGGGACGGAGGCGGGATCCTGGGCCCCAGGAGCTCAACTGCTGGAAGGTGGCTCCTCTCGATTGGGCTCAGGGGACTGAGGGGGAGGGAGGGGGTCCCCAGGGATGCCGGGCTCAAGCTCAATGGCAGATGTAACAGCCACGGCATCAGGAAGTGGACAATCTTTAGCGGGACCCGCACCCAGGATGGAACTTGGTTGCCCCACGCCAACGAGGGATACCCCTGGTAACTTGGGTCCCGGCCATGGGGCACTGGCCGTCACCTCAACAGGCTCGGCGGCTGTCAGTGGAGTGCCACCTGTGGCAGGGCAGGTCGAAGAATCCAGGGGACCCTTGGAGGCGGGAGCGGAAGCAGTGGTTAGGGGGAGGGAGCATGGGGACTGGAGAGCCGGGATGAGGTCGCTCAGGTCGAGGCCCAGTGACAGAGGGTCATCCTCCCCCTGGGTGACCGGGGTCAGACCCAGGGCCTCGATCTCCTTATAGATGGAAGGGAGCTCAGCTCCCACCACCCTCGGGTCCTCCCCGCTAGCGCCCGAAGCGATGCTTGCCTCGGGCATTGCAGGGGGTTTAGGGGGCAGGAGGGGCTTCATCAGCGGCCTCCACGAGGAGGGACCATGGAGGATGGATGGTGGTAACCTCCGGTGCTGCCACGTCTTCCCCAGCCAGCACTGGTGGATGGAACGCACTTGTGGGGAAGGCGGAAGGCTCGGCAGTGGTGCCCCCCTTCTTGGTTTTCTGGGGGGCCTCCGCACCGGATGGCAGGAGCGGAGCTCGAGCCTTCCTCTTGCCTCACTTTCCCTGCACTAGGGTCCAGCCCTTCATGGCATTGTCTGCGGGCTGGTTAACAGGGGTTGGGTCGGGGGGCAGGAATGAGGACACAGGGACTTGGGGAGGTAACAGTGGGGCAGCATGAGGCGGGGCAGAGTCCCCCCAGGGCGGACCCTCTCCCAGGCCCGGTGATACCCCTGCCGCACCCTCCTCCACAGGCCCCACCAGATTGCAGGCAGCAGAGGCGGGGCTCTCCCGCTCGTCTGGGCACACTGGGAGAGGTACCCCTAGGGCCCAAGCAGGAGCAGTGGTGGGCTGGGAAGGAGGAGAGGCAGCTCTAGGCACTGGGCAGTCAGGGGCACTAGCGATGATGGGGCCGGTACCCTGCCGGGGCTCGGGGGTCCCGGGCACTCCTCCATGCCAGGCCAAGGGGCAGTCACTCCGGACGTGCCCCATCGCCTGGCAGAGGTAGCACCGGGCCTCCCCCATAGAATAGTGCACCCGGTAATGGGCCCCCTGATAGGGGACCAGGAAAGACCCCTCAAGCGCCTCTCCGCCATGCGCCGCTGGCGGCAGTTGAAGCTGCACCTGCCGGCGGAACGAGAGGATGTGATGGAGGGTGGGGTCTTTACAGCCCAGTGGGAGAGGGCTAACGACAGAAATGGGTTTCCCCAGGGTAGAAAGGGCGGGCAGCAGGGCAGCATTGGGGGGGAATGGAGGTTAGGACCACACGGACACCTAGGTCCTCTAGCGGCTCCAGGGGGATGAACACGCCCCCCACCACCAGGCTCTTCTCCACTGCCTTCTGGGCGGCGGCCTCCGAGGCAAGGAAGAAGACAACCTTGCCATACATTTTGGAGGCCGCCATGATGGCCGTGGGCCCTACCACCCTCGCCAACACCTGCACGTAGGTCTCCACGTGGGGTGAGGCGGGCACCAGGAAGCAACGGACACCGTGCTTCCTGGTCAAGGTGGGGAAGGGGCCCTGGCCGCTATAGATGGTAGCAGAGATGGCGGCTGGGAGAGATGGTGTAGCAGCAGGTGGGGGGGGGCCGCCGCCACCTGGGCGTATGCCCTGGGGGCCGGGGGAGGGGCACCCGCCGAGCTGGTGGAGGGAACAGCGGAGAGGGATGCCGCGGCCAATGGCGGGCCTGCGGCAGTGGGGGCAGCCCTTGCCAGGGAGGGCCTAATCTTCTTGGTGGGGCTCTTTCTCTTCTATTTACCCTGACCTTTTCTGCCGGCTGGGGGGGCTCCCCAGAATCAGAGGGGGTGAGGGACGTGGCAGCAGTGAAGGTCACCCTGGCGCCCGCCGGCGCCTCAGCAGGGGCGGTGGCAGGTGGTTTGGCAGCGGCGGTTGAGGTAGAGGCTAAGGGGAATCATCGGGGGGCAGGCAGGGCCTGTCCCAGGGATCCCACCCGCCGTGTCTCCCGCCATGATGAGCAGGGAGGGAGGGGAAAAAACACCAGAGAAAGGGGGGGGGGAAGGGAAGCAGGTCAACCACTCCTCCCCACTAGGCTGCAGGCGGGGGAGGAGGGCGCCGAAATGGGGGGCCAGATAGGGGGGCTATCAAGGACTTTGGGGGGGGGGGAGGGATCAGTCACTGACGGAAGATGGAAGTCCAGCTCCTCTAGCTGCACTAGGGGAGGGAAGGTTACAACAACATCAGGGGGGTGCAGTGATCAACCAAAATGGGGGGAGCACAAGCGCATGGGAGGGGGCATGGGCACGGGCACACGAAGAGAGGGGCCATTCAGGGCAAGGGGGGGCCACAAAGGGAGGGGAGCAACCAGGCCAGGAGTGGGGCAGAGAAAGCAAAGGGGCTAACTGTAGGGCTAGGGTGGGACAAATAAACAAAGCTGCAGAGGGAAAAGGGTGGGGCAGGCAAACAAACTGAAGCCAGGGAGGGGCAAAAGGCTATAATGGGCAAATGGGGTAGGCAGCAAGGGGCAAAGCTGGGGGGCCTGTTGCAGGGGGGTACGCATGCACAGGAGCGCTTGCGCAAAGTCAATGTGTGGGCTGGCTGCTGCTGCAGGCCCAAATGGTGGAAATGGGCATGGCAGGCCAGGCAAGCAGCTGAGTCTTAGAGGCGGGAGCTGAGGCTGATGGTAAGTGGCCTGTGGGGGTGGTGGAGGGGGGACACAGATTAGGGTTACCATATTTTGTGCCTCCCAAAGGAGGACACTCCACGGGCCCCCGCCCCAACTCCGCCCCCTCCCCAAAGTCTCCGCCCCCTCCCCTGCTTCCCGCGAACATTTGAGTCGCGGGAAGCCTGAAGCAGGTAAGGGGGAGTGTGGGGGGAGGAGGCGCGGCCCAGGCTGACCCCGGCCCTGGGGTGCCGGCCTGGGCCCGGCCCCCGGCCGACCACTCCCGGCCCGCCCAGCACTGCGGTCCCCGGCCCGGCCCTGCCCCCAGGCACCGCACCGCCGGTCCCCAGCCCGGCCGCCGTCCTGTCCCCCGAGCCCCGGGCCCCGCCGGACGCCCCCGAGCGCCGCCGGAGCCCCCGAGCCCCCGTCCCGGCCCCGCCCGAGCCCCCGGCCCGGCCCTGGAGCCCCTGGCCAGGCACCGCACCGCCGGCCGGCCCCGGAGCCCCCATCCCGGCCCCGGAGCCCCCGGCCTGTCCCGGCCCCCGTCCCGGCCCCGCCCGAGCCCCCGGCCCGGCCCTGGAGCCC